GTATGATCAATGATGTAACCATGCAAAGGCACCTGCTAGCTGAAACCCACCTGGACTTCAAACAGGCACTACAACTGGCTTTATCATTGGAAAATGCGGCAAGTGGAACATATGAGTTGCAGGGTATTCCGATGGAAGTGGATACTCTCGCAGTCTTACTGAGTTTGGGGAACACTTCCTGAGTGAAGGCAATTGCATAGCCTCACTCAGGACATTTCCTGAACAGAGGGACTCTAGATCATCCCACAGCAAAACCCTAAAACAATGCCAAGCCTTGGCCAAACAGTTAAAATTTTCTTCAGGATTCGGGCTGGCAAGTCATTGTAGTTGTTCCCGGAATGCAGACATGAGACAGCAGGAAAGTCCTGTTAGACCTAAATTGAGTAAGAGAAGCAATAGGCCAGTATCCAGGAGAGTGCAGACACTGGAAAGTCCACCTACATCTGGTTGGAACAGTTACATTGCTTAACAACATCCAAATCAGAGCCAATCAAAATAAGCTTCGGGTTAAATGATCACTTGGTTCTAGTGGAGGCCGTTTCAGTGATCACAGAACCAGTCTTTCACAAAATTCGCTCTGGACTCCAACCCTTAAGTTTGCACAAGACCTCAGCTAAATTGAGAAACTGTAATGGGGAGCCTTTACAGAGTAAGGGTTTAACTTCAGTTCCAGTCTCTTATAAGAAGCAGATTGAGTCAATATTTTTTGATTAGAAAATGGCAGCCTGAGTGATGTCCTAATTAAATATCTGTAAATTTTTCAGGAAGGTCTAGGGACTATCAAAGGAGCCAAGACCACCTTGCATGTTGACCAGGAAGCAATTCCACGATTCTATAAGGAACACCCAATGCCATTTGCCTTACAAGCAAAAGAAGAGGAAGAAATCAGGATGCTAGAAAGCGAAGGAGTCATCAAACTGGTCCAATTTATGGAATGGGCATCACCGGTCGTACTGATTATGAAGCCTGATGGGTCAGTTCGCCTTTGTGGCTATGCTAATCAAACAGTAAATCGCTTTTCGCAGTTGGTTATATACCCAGTTCCTCGCATAGAGGGTTTATGCAGAAAGCTGGTTGGGGGCTGTCCGTCATGAGCCAAGCGTACTTGCAATTGCAGTTGGATGAGGATTCCCAGAGGTGTACTACAGTTAATACCCAAAAGGGTTTGTGCCACTATACGAGACTGCCATTTGGGATATCGCCAGTCTGTGCAATATTTCAGCGGACAATGGAGAACATTTTGCAAGATCTGCCCCAGGTCGCCATTTATCTAGATGATGAGCTAATAACAGAGAAGACCAATAAGGAGCACTTAGAGAAATTAGATGTAGTCCTCAGATGTTTCTCCCAGGTTGGCGTACACATTAGAAGGGACACCAAGTAACCTACTTGGCCTACAGAGTTGACAAGACCACGTCACACCCATTGGAAGATAAAGTGAGGGCGATCAAAGATGCCCCTGCTCCCTCATCTGTACAGGAGCTTAGATTTTTTCTTGGGCTGGTGAATTTTACGGAAAGTTCATACACAGCCTGGCATCCATCCAGGCACCTTTTCATCGACTCCCAAAAGTCAGCCTTGGAAACGGTCCTCAGGCAAGCCATAACTTTCAGGAAAGTGAAGAAACAGCCTACAGCTTCGCTAGATACCAAACTGTCCTGGTTCCTATTTGATTGTAGGACCATCCCTCATGCAACTACAGGGGAGAAGACTCGGCACAAGGTTAAAGCTGATCTTCCTGTACCTTGTGGGGTCTTGAAAGGGAAAAGTGGCATCAGGAATGCCAGTGCAGGAATCAAGACTGTGCTAAGGTAGAGAGAGATAGTTTACTTCAGGGGACGAAATTTGGTGCAGGAACCACAGAAGTGGCCCTGCATGGGTAAGAGGCATGGCCAATGGCGGTCAGGTTCAGTATAGAGTTCACGTAGGTGCAATGGTCCTGAACAAACACGTGGATCATATGAAAGCTGTGAACTCGCAAACTGGGCAGGAGCAAAACATGCTCGGCTTCTTGGAATAGATGGAAAGGCTGGCGGAATCCATGGGTTCTCCCTTTCCATCAAGCATTGAAAAGACCTCAGAATCTGAGTCAAAAGATGTGAAGCTCGAAAAACACAGCAGGTCAGACAGCATCCGAGGAGCAGGAAAGTCAATGTTTTGGGCTGAAACCCTTCATCAGGACTGGGAGGGGAAGGGGAGCCCAGAAGTAAATAGAGGGAGGGGTTGGGACAGGGGGAAGGGTAGCTGGGATGGTAATGGGGGTTGTTGTGATTAGGGAAGGGTGGAGTGGATAGGTGAGTAGGAAGATGGACAGGTTAGGTCAGGTCAGGGAAACAAGGAAGAGGGGGATGGCTGGACATGGGATAAGGCTAGGAGTGGAGGGATTTTGAAGATGGTGAAGTTAATATTGAGGCCATTGGGCTGTAAGCTCCTAAGGCGAAATATCAGGTGTTGTTCTTCCAGTCCAAGTTTGACCTCATTCTGACAGCGGAGGAGGCCAAGGATAGATGTGTTGCCAGGTGAATGGGAGGGGGAATTAAAATGGATGACAACCAGAAGATTGGGTTGATTGATGCACGCAGAGCGCCTCAATGCCTTTGCTGCTTGAAGAAGTGAATGAATTTCTTCCGAGTTGCTCTGGGCACAAGAGGCAAACAACTGTGCATTACACATCACCTGTATCAGAGGCAGAGTCAGATGAACCTGACCCAGTGCTAAAACACTCCAGGAGGAGCTGTTAAAAAAGTGAACCAGCCTATGTCCTTGGACTCAGAGAGGGAGGGATGCAGTGATTGTAATGAGGTCAGCCAGGTGGACCTCAGAATGTGAGTTCCCTGATTGGGGCTGTTAAGCTGGTTCAATCAGAGATCCCTGGCAGACATAAAAACAGAGTGACTGACAACCTGCTCACACTGAGAAAGCTGGATCAGTGTCAAAGACTTTCCACGTGTACATAAAGGGTGACTTGGTGATGGGATACTAGCCTCTGTGGAGTTATTTAACTGCTCTACATATATTTATTCTTGTGCACAAAGGGAGTATGCAGCTCGAATAATTTTTGGAAGCAGATGGAAAATTGTGACTGAATGCATTTGAATGCATGATAATACTTAACTTAAGTTTCTTGGCCTGTTTTTGTTGAGCTTGGCAATTTTAGTCCAGTCTAAAATCCCTGTTGTAAAATGGTACTGAATGGTAAAGCAGCAAAAATCCACCTAAATGGCACTGAGCCATATTTCCTGGTCCCCAGTGTCAGTTTTGCTCTTGCAGCACCTACCCTAGTAGCTGGAGGGTCTACCAGTACCAAGGTGTGGTCTGTATCACAATTGACAGTTTAGCCTTGATCATCTGACTTCCATTTGAACATTCCTGGTTAATAATTGAAGGTTAGAACTACCTGTTATTACAACAAAAACTTGTCTTTACCTGCCTTTAGGAACTTTTACAATCTTGTTGTTGACCCAACTCTCTGAGTGCTTTTACAGTCTAGCCAAATCCTTTAACCTTTAAAATCCCCCAAGATATTGCCTCCATGCATTCTGTCCTCTTTTCTATTATAATAATATTTTCTCAATAATTTATAGCCCTGAATATTAAATTAATTCCCATTTCCTGGTGTAAATGTTCTTTAGTTAGTGTGAAATCAAATTTTCCTTACGTAAACGTCCAATTATCCACATATTTTTCAAGCATTCTATATCTGATGCTTCTAACAGTCAGTGAAGATAATTAACCCTGTTCTTTAACTTAAACTTGCCTTTTTAGCCACAACAGACAGTTAGTCATTCTTATTGTTATGTTTAATTTCTGCTGTATTATGTTGCCCAGCACAGTTCTCCAAGTCCTCTTTTTCCTTACAATTTATATAATTAAAAAAATTTTCTTAATTCATCCCTCAGCAATGGCACCAGAAATTGCTGACACTATTTCAGAAGGATAAAGGCAGCAGATGCCTGGGAACATATTGCAAATTCCAACTGTTCCCCTCCAATACACACGGTTATGATTTGGAACTGTATTACTGTTCCTTCATTGTAGCTGGGTAAAAATCCTGGAAATCCCTAACAGCACCATGAGTTTACATACACTCCATGGACTGCAGTAGCTCAGAAAGCAGCTCATGATTGACTTCTTCAGGGCAATAAATATTGGCTAATCAGCAATGCCCATATCACATGATGAATTTTAAAAAAAGACGTTCATGCTTGGGTTGGGAAGTTAATGCAATTTAAGTATGTTCACTCATTACTTGTTGCTAAATACATTTTCCTACATTTATTAATTGACGTATGAATGTGAAAAACATATGATATGCCAGCAGATGCTTTTCTCTGCCTAATTTAGATGGGTATTGTTGGGTCAAAGGAATTGTTACTCTCCATATAATCAGCATGGTTTATGCTGAACTTTATTGCCAAAAATTGGCTACTCTGTATCGCAACACCTTTCATTTTGATGACTACAAAATTAAGGCAAAATGGCTGGCTAAGGACTTTGGGACCCTGGAGCAACCTTGTGATGATGTCATGGCTTTGCACGTTACTGAGCATAAATGGGACAATGTAGGTGGAGTTAGAATTGACCGTTACACTGTGCTACACCAAACTATACTATAACTTTAGAAAGTCTTAAGAACACATTACCGTGAGCACGCAAACAAAGATAGATCAGTATTTACCTAATTAAGTATAAGATCAGAATGTGGCATATCTATGATTACCATGTGTTAAGTACTAATGTATAATAAATATTACTTTGAAGTCGAAGCCTGAGAAAAGTTCTTGACTTTGCCTTCTTGTCATCCAGTCAGTCTTGGATCCAAACTCAATCATGTGGCATCAAACCACACAGGTTCTTCTTCTGTTTCAGGTTTTTAGAGATTTATCTTCACTTGTCAAAGATGAAATTAGATTACCATGTAAGAAAACTTAGGAATCTTGCAATGCTAAACTCTACTGTAAAGTGTATGTGGAATTTAATTACTTCTTACTGTTGTACAGGGGAAAGATCAGCGGTCTGGTGATGTGAAAGGGAAGCAAAATTTAAATATTAAAGAAGTTAAGTCCCAACAGAAGAAAAAGCCTCCAGATTCTACAGGTATGCAAAAAGTGTCTTTTTAGTGCAGTACAGTGCACACATAAAGAATATTCTGTTTAATTTCTCTATCTTGTTTTCCTAGCACTGTTTGATCAGGAGGATGCAGATAGTTTCTCTGATCAAAAGATCAAAAGTTTAAATACAGAAAATGCCAACGGCTCGAGTGTCTTTGAGGATCCGAACAATATCAGAAGTCAAGCAGAATGCAAAAATGTTGCAAAATTAAAAGGAAAGCCGTTTCAGAAAGACGCAAGTGTCTTTGGGCCGCAATCTTCCAGATTGGCAGAGGGCACCTCCTCAACAATCGCTCCAGAGATTACTGAAGCTGTTTTAGATATTTATGCCAGTAATGAAAAGAAGGAAGACGCAGCTGTAAAAGAACAATGTGATATTGAGCCTGAGAAGAGTTTTAGCACTGCAGAGAACCAAACAAGGATCAACAGACAAATTGATGAAAGGACAGAGAAAAACAATGTTATGTATGAAAATATTGTAGATAATAGGTCCATGGAAAAAATGCCAGCAGAGGAAGACGATGGAAGTATTAATAAAGAGTTAATGAGTGAACCAATATCAGAAGGAAGAAAGGAGAATGTAATAGATGAAGAAAATGAAGAAACAGAAAGCAACTGCATAAAAGTTGATGAAAGCAATGAAGAGGCCATAGGGACTATTCTTGAAAGCACAGACTCAGAGCTTACTATTACTGAAAGATCCAAAGTGAAGAACACAGTGTCACAGGTAGATGAACTACCTAAGGATCAGGATATTGTTTGTCATGGCAAAAACTGCACGGTGTTGCTAAACAGGTAACAAGTTTTATTATCTCTGTTTATTTATCAGTATGTAAGTTTTTAAGAAATGATATTTCTTAGGAATAATTTGAAAGAATTATAAAATCTCACAACCAGACCAATACCATTAGTGGGGCAAAATACTCTGAAAGGGAAGTGTTACTTTCATTTTGAGATATTTCTCCACACATCTTTCCTTACCTTAAAAGAGACATCCCATATTTTTAAAATGAGAAACTAAACACCCAGCTCCTCAAACTTGGAATAAAGTCCTTTCCAAAAGGAGACTATAGTATAGAAACATATAATATAGGAGCAGCAGAAGGCCATTCAACCCCTCGGGCCTGCTCTGCAATTCAGTATAATCATAAGTGATCATCGAGCTCAAAACTATAATCCCAACCTCCCCGCTTATCCCTTGAACCCTTTTGCCACAAAAGCTATATCGACCTCCTCTTTCAAAACACATAATGTTTTGGCCTCGACCATTTTCTATAGTGAATTCCACAGCTTCACCACTCTCTGGGTGAAGATATTTCTCCTCATCTCTGTCTTAAAAGTTTATCCCTTATCCTTAAACTATGACCCATGGGGTCTGGTGTCTGCCACCATTGGGAACATCTTTCCTACATCTAACCTGCCTAGTCCCATTAGAATTTTATAGGTTTCTGTGAGATCCCCCATCATTCTTCTCAACTCCAGGTAACACAATCCTAATTAACTCATCTCTCCTCATACCATCTGCCATCCCAGGAATCAATTTGGTAAACCCAAACCTTCACTGCATTCCTCTATAGCAAGAACATCCTTCTTTAGTTAAGGAAACGGCATACAATATTCCAGGTGTGACGTCACCAATGCCCTGTATAATTGAAATAAAACATCCTTGTTCTTGTATTTAGATATCTCACTATGAAGGCCAGCATACAAGTTGCCTTCTTTACTGCCTGCTGTACCTGCATGGTTACTTACTTTCAGCGACTGGTGCATAAGAACACCCAAGTCTTGTTGCACATTCCCCTCTTTCAATTTACAGCCATTCAAATAATAATCTCTAAGTTACAGATAGATCCCAGACTCTTATCTAGTTGGGAAGAAGTACTTCTCACATACACAATTGTCTATTTCATTTTGGAAAGAGTATAACAAAAATCTAATTGTCTTCAACTGATAGCTCAATAAGGGAAAAATAATTAAGATAGCCAATCCCTGCTTAATAAGTTAATAGGTATTTTGTTATAATTAACACTAAGTTTTATTAAGTGCAATGAATTTCTACTGAGTGGATTTGAGAACAAGTTATTGTGGGCTCTACTTAAAGGAAAGGAATTAAATGCTTTTTACTTCTTTTCTAGGAAAATTTTTTTTGATCCTAGACCAGATAGGGAACTAAATTTGAACCCTTATGTACCACAGAAAGATAAGTTAATAAGTAACATTGAATGTACAGCAATCATTACAGCCTCTGACTCATCTACTTAGAGAATAAGTTTTAATAGTGAGCTACAACACATATAAAACCAGAAAAAAGGATTCATCTAATTTTTATTTTTCTTTTTAAAGTTTTTCTGAACAGTGATCAATGTTGCACAAAGGTCTATACTTAAATAAGTAACTCTTTAAGTTCAGGATCATTTTTCAACATCCCCTTACAACTTCAATAACAGTCCTTACTAAACTGGCTCTTGATAATAATTATTTTCTTGCTTGGAGGCAAATAGCTAAGGAAAATGCAGCCATTCTGATAATTTGATGTACATTACAGAATGTGTCTGAAACTAAGGACACAATTTTCCCTTTACCAAGTTTGGGTGCAAATGTGCTCGGTGGCAATTAAGGCATCGCCGTCTCTCCCAAGAAAACATAAACTGTTGGGTGCCAGTCAGCTCATTAAGAGCTGATGGCTTTCATAGGTGAGCTGCTTAGCCTATTGCAGGCCTTGAAGAAATTCTGGGTCCTAAATACCTCTGGTCAAGGCCCACTACACAGGGGATCCAGCAATGATGAGGTAAATCTGTCCTGTATCATCAGATCACAGGATGGTTATTACACGGGGTGTGTTGAGGGAGTGGAGGGTTGGAAGCCTTGGATTGCCCAGAAATTGAAACATTTGGAGGCCTCCCCTAATAAGCAGGTTGGTCTTATTCCCAGTCAGAAAGTAGCCACAGTTGCCACCTGCTTGAGCAGGTAATCAGGGAGGTGACAAGTTGAGACCCTTAAGTGACCATTAATTGACCTCTTAGGGACGTTAATTGGTGGTGGATCAAGAAGTGCACCCCTGGACATTCTCCCACAGAAATCATTGAGTGCGAGAAGGGGAAAAGTATCCCTCTGACACAGTCAACTATTTTCCCTTCTCGCCACCTCCAGAGAAGGGAAAATCACACCTAAGGTTCAAAGTTTTCAAGTGGAAAATTTCATTTGCTGCCTGTTTAATATGACTTGCTAAATAAATCATCTCTTAGATCTTTTAACTTGTATTCTTGTTTTAGTCTTGTGATCTAAGAAGAGCTCAGGCACATTATAATATTGTTTTAATATCTTATACAAACCTGCTACAATACGATTTATTTGCACTGCTCATCAAAATTGTTTCACTGACGGGTTTAGCCTTTGGTAATTTTCCATTCATGCACGGTTGCAGAAGAGGAAGCAGCCGTGGTAATAGCTGTTCCTGGCATGCTCCATTAATTGCTAAACTGGGTATCAATCATAAATTAACTCTGGTCATTGTAGACACAGATGCATATGATTAGTTCTACACAGCTACTTCTTTAGCTGAAAATGATGTCTCTAGGAGGCACCATGAATTCTAGCCTCAGGATTCTTCGAGGGTACAATGCTTCCATCAGAGATTGTTGTTGAGGCATTTTATATATAAAAAATGTTGCTGCAATGCCTTCTTTATTGCAAGTTTTGTTTTTGCTTTGAAATGTAAGGAACATGTTATCTGAATGGATTTTCAAAATTATTTAGAGAAGCTTCATTGTTTTCATTTTTCATTGTGAGCTTTTGTTAACTGCTGCTATTGGTTGAGTGTTATCAAATGTTTTTAGAGTACCTTTTAGAATCATAGAATTTCTACAGTTTGGAAAGAGGCCATTCAGCCCATTGAGTCCACACCAACCCTCCGAAGAGCTTCCCATCCAGACAAAGTCCCCCTATCCTAACCCCATAACCGATATTAACCCTGACTAAACCGCATATCCCTGGACACAACGAGGCAATTTAGCATGGCAAATCCATCTAACCTGCACATCTTTGGACTTCTAAAACGTTTAAAATCTTTTTAAACTGAATTTTTTTAAATTATTTTTTCTTAAGGGTGGGTTTTACTGGCAAGGCTAACATTTATTGTTTGCAAATAATTGTCTCTGAGAAGGTGAGGTAGCTTTTTGAACTGCTACAGCCCATATAGAGTGCAGTTAGGTAGGCAGTACTATGATTTTGACGTCGTGGTAAAGGAAGAATTGTTTTACAAGTCCATGTCAGGATAATGTGTGACTTGATGATACTGTTCCCATTATCATTACTTTTCTATTTCCATTCATCCTTTCAAAATACATCACTTTAAATTCCTTCATTAAGTTTCATTTTCTATGTTTCTGTTCATGCCACCAGTTTTGGCCACCTTAGGATTGTTACTCTCCACTTCACTGTCTACTTGATTGATTGATTTATTGCCACTTGTAATGAAATATAGTGAAAAACTTTGTTGACAAGTGGTACAGGCAGATCACAGTGAGCAAAGGATGTACAGATCAAAAAGACTTAGAGGCATAGAGGTTACATTATTTGTGGCTAGAGTCCATTCAACAGTCTTGATAACGGCCGAAAAGTAGCTGTTCCTGAACCTGCTCATGCATGTTTTCAAGTTTCTGTATCTTCTGCCTGATGGAAGAGGTTGCAGGAGGTCATTAACAGGGTGCGATGGGTTTTTGATGATGTTGGCCACCTTTCTGCGGTAGCAAGCATTGTAAATAGAGTCCATGGATTGAAGATTGGCTTCCGTGATGGTCTGGGCTGTGCATACCATCTTCTGTAGTTTCTTACAGTCTTTGGTAGAGCAGTTGCCATACCAGGCCGTTATGCACCCAGGCAATATGCTTTCAATGGTGCATCTGTAGAAGTTGGTGAGGAACCTTATGGACATGCTAAATTTCCTGAGCCGCATGAGGAAGAAGAGACATTGTTGTGCCTTCTTGACCGTCACATTTACGTGGCTGATTTTCTAATTTGTGTCATCTCTAAAAAATTATGGACCATCTACATGAGCCTATATTATTAATGTACATGAAAAATGTGTGATGGTTTCTGTACTGGGCACTAGTACCTAAGCTATGTCTTCTAACTTCACCATAAGAGTTCCATCATGTTCCCCAGTTATACCCACCCTTTCTTTAACTATCCTTTTATTATTTCTATGCCTGTAAAATACTTTAGTTTCCCTCTTATGTTACTCCTAATCAACTCTCACACATTCAGTTTACCCTCTTGTTTACGTTCTCTATTCTCTTCAGTGTCTTGTGTATTCAAATTGGTTCTATATTATTTTATGAGCCTGGCTTTATTATGATATTCCTTTTGTTGTTTCATTTCAGTCCTTGCATTTTTAATTATCTAGAGAGCTGTAGTTCTGGGTATTTTGCTTTCCCCCATGTGGGAATGTTTCCAGTCTGTACCTAAATTATCTCTTCTTTTAAGTGTTTCTATTACTCACTTCTTGTTTCACCTGCTAATCTCTGATTCCAGTCTATCTGGACCAGATCTCTTTTGAACTCATTGAAAATAACTTCCCTGCAGTTGAATGTGTTTACTTTTGATTGTTCCTTATCCTTTTCTATTATTCTAAACTTAACAATATTGTGATCACAAAAAAAATTGTGATCACTCTTTCCAAAATGTTGCTTCGTTTAAGCTACCACTGCCTGCATCACTTCATTCCCCAGAATTACATCCATTCCTGTTGGGTTATAAACACTGATTAAGAAAGTTCTTGTGTCTATTTCAGGAATTCTTCCTCCCTCTTGCCCTTTATACTATTATTTTCTGTCCTATGTTAGAAAATATGAGTTCCCTCTTATCAGTACTCTTGTTCTCGGATCTTCCTGAAATTCATCTGCAAACCATGCTTCATTATCTCCTTCTTACTGCACTATTTGGTGACAAATTTCCAAACCTCTACTTAAATGGAATCTGTATTTGATCTTCAAGGACATCATGGCCTTTCCAGGACTGTAGCAATACTGTCTTGCTGTTCCTTATGTTTCTGCTTTATTTCTTCTGAATGCATTGTCAGGAATATTAAGTTTCCCCTTGTTTTTGCCAGGTCTTTGTCATTGTCAGGGGTTGGTTAGCTCAGTTGGCAGTACAGCTGGTTTGTAATCCAGTTCAATTCCTGCACTGGCTGAGGTACCATGAAGGATTCTCCTTCTCAACTTCTTCCCCTCACCTGAGGTGTGGTGACACTGAGGTTAAACCACCACCAGTCTCATTAGAGAGCAGCCCTATGGTCTGGTAAAAATATGGTGACTTTACCTTTTATATAAGGTAATATATCACTCCCTCATCTTATTTACTGTGCTTCATACAATTTCACACCCATACTCCAAATCACCTGAATCTTCTTTCTGTTACCCCTCCTGTCTGATCCTTTACATTGCTGAATCACTCTTTGTTATAATACAGTTTGCATCTCCCACTAATCTCTGAAACTTCATCCAGCTTTTCCTTCCCTTGTCATTCACATTAAACATTGACCCACAGCTCTAGGACATTGGTCCAACCGCATGCATGTGTTACCCATTCATCTGGTATAGGGGTGCGTCCTGTCCCAGAACTGATCCCATTGCCACAGGAATCTAAAGCCCTTCCTCCTGCACCATTTCTCCCTTCCTGAATTAACTTGTATTACATTATTGTGCCGAACCTCTCTTGCCAGGGCCACTGGGTGTTGTGCAGTGATTAGAAAATGTGTTAAAAATGTTGGTCTGAAACAGCTGAAATTCCTGGGGCCTGAACGTGGCTTATAGTAGGTAGCAAATCCTGGGAGACACAGTCGCTCTTAGTGGCCAATTAACTCGCTACTGACGTGGCTGCTTTCCCCATTAAGGATGTCCGGCCACTCCTAAGACTTGCTGGCCCAATTGAAAGGGTTGGTAGCTAAGCAGCCATTGTAGCACAACAACCAGTGGCGGCCAGTGCTGAAATTGCAACCGCAAGAAGAGAATATCTCAATAACCATGGGGCTGTCGAAGAGGAGTAAGAGATGCTAAGGTCAGACAGCTTTCGCTAGACACTCTGCACATATGACAACATGCAAGCCACTCAGTGTGGGCAGAAATGCCTGAGGAAGTGGGATAAGGCTTCTAACCAGACAGTTAAATGACTCAAATAGGCTCCAAGTGGACGCTGATCTTCCAGCTTGCCCATTGCTGGCAGAAGTGCATGGTGATGAGAATATGTGGGGGATGTGCCCTGACGCCACCCCACACCATTTCTGCCTTCAACCTACCAGCTTATTGCCGATGAGTAAGAGTCTGAACATTTACAACAGCAAAACCATTTATAAATGAATAAACACTTTATAATGGGATCATCAAATGTAAATATGTCATAATTATGATTTCTTGACAAATGAATTGAATTACTTAGGTGACTTTTTGGAAAATACGTTTGTCATGTTAGCTCCTTGAGCTTAAAAATTCTAATGTCTTAAGTAAGGTTTGAAACAATATTTTTATTTACATATTTCACAACATCAGAAATAAATTAATCCCTTAAACACTTTAATTATTGATGCCTTTGAGACAAGGGGAAACATTGGTAAAATGAGAGAGGAGAAAATAAGAGAAACAGAGACAGGGTGGTGGCTGAGAGAATGAGAAAAAGAAACAAAGAGAAAAATTCAGATGATGTGTCTTTCTTCATCTTAATGTGTATTATTTTGGAATGAAAGATGAATTGAACTTTGAAAGTAATCAAGATTGTAAACAAGTACTTTTTTTTTAGTTATAACCACTTTCTAAGTATTAGTTGAGTCTCCCTCGGTAGTTCTCTTGGCCTTGAAATTATTGTCTGCGAGTTCAAGTCTTACTCCAGAATTTGAGACCAAACATTAGAGTTTACATTGGTGTGCCTTCGCTTTTGAGTAACAAAACATCTGTATAACTTTTTTACTTTTGAAAGATATGAAGACAGTGAAAGAGAAGCTGAAGCTTTATTAGCAGCTGCAGCAGAACCTGAGGAAGGAACATCACAGAATACTGAGCCACATGCAGTCAAAGGTCTGAGTACCATCAATAAAAGAAGAGGGACTGGGGAAAATTCACTTAACGATGACAACAAGAAAAGCAGAGTGGAGGAAAAAGGCTGCAGCCAGGAAGCCACAACTGAACCTGCTTCCTGTCTGAGCAGTGCAACATCCACAGTTAGCCAGAAAGAAATTAACCAGGCAACCAAGGAGTGTCCACACATTGTGATCGGCAAGTAGACACCAGCTTTCATCTCATTGTTCTAAGAGTTTAATAATGTTAAATTTGTATTAGCCCCAATGCCAAATACTGGAATGTAAATCAGTTATCAAAGCTTAATCTGACATTAAACTGATGGAGAATAAGACTGGCCTTTGTCAGGAGACTTTCTGCTCTTCAGTCCAAAGTTGGGTTTAGTTCTAACCATGGATTCAGGCTATATTTACACGTCTATTGCAGTTAGAGTTATAGGCCCAATATTGCTTCCTTCTGCATATGCATTTCCCAGATTCACAGGAGAAGGAAATCCAGGCAATATTATGTAATGTGTAAACAGTTACTTTACTGAGCATCTTATTGCCCATTCACAGTACAAGGCTAGCACTGGTGTTAAGCAGTTGCAGCATTACACTGACGTGAAACTTATGGAATGCAAATTGAATGTGAAGACCAAACTGACTGCAAAGTCAAGAAAACAGATTACATCCTCGGTGTAGTTGCACTTTGTTCCCGACAGATGCTGACTAACTTATTTCCAGCATCTTCAGTTTTTGTTTCAGATTTTTAACATTTATTGTATTACTGCTTTTATGTCAATTGAGTCCTGAATAGTTTGTGAAATATTAAGTTTTATCTGCTATTTGTATTGGATTACAAACTACTGTGAGCAAAAGCTTGACCTTAGGGAGTTACTTTTGGATGAGGTAGAGTGAATCTGTAAACATGTTCCCAATAAAGTTGTTGACTGTTTCCCTACATCTAGGACATAGCACACGTAGGAAACTTTCATGTTCTTAATTCATTACCTTCAGTTGCCTAAATATTTCTTTTGAGTTATTTATCCATTTCCGTTGCTCACTTCAACTTAGTTGTTCTCTTGAAGCTGGTCTTGTTCTTCTCCCGTTATGTGGCCCCTCAGCTTGATCTTGTTCGGTTTCTCTACTCCCATAATCTCATTTCACTTCAGTCTTCCACCACTCCTACTGGTTGCATTTAGCTGTCTTGACCAACTGGTTAAAAGAAATCAATCAGAGCTACCTAAGTTCATTGCTAATTATCAAGTTGTAAGTAGCCTGATCTATAGTTTTCATTGGAATATTGGACACAGTAAGGCAAAGAAAGCACATGCAATGAAGAAAATGAGCTTGAAATTAAAAGGAGACCTTCAACTGAATCCATAAATGAATCCAGTGATGCAACAATTAAACAAATGAAGCTAATTATTAGGTGTTGCGATTAAGGAATGCCCTGTTATCAGTGACAATTTTAACCCCATCTACCCAGCAGTAACCAGTATTTAGGAGCAAATTTAAATTGTTCAGCACCTCATTTAATTCGTTAGGTCATGGTTGATCCATACTTCAAATGACTGTACCCACTTGTCATTCCTTCCCATTATGCCTTTTGTAGTAAAAAATATTCCCACCTTAGTTTTGAAAAGCTCAGTTGACTGCAGCCTTTCTCAAAAATGTAATCATTGATGTCTGCCATTAGTCTGAAAAAAGTGTTTCTGGGCTTCTTTCCTGAAAGGCTTCATTCAAATTGTATGATTATGACCTGTTGTTCTGGGGCATTTGCTCCAAGAAAATCCTCTAGTAAATCCCTTCAGTATTTTCCACATCTTAATTGGATCATCCATCAACCTTTTAAGCTCAGAGTAATATAGGTGTAATTTATGAAACCTGGCTGCATAACTTAATCCTTCAAGCCTTGGTATTAAGTTGCATAAATTTAGTGAATCTGTGCTATACCACGTCCAAGATGAATATACCCTTCTCAAGATCCATGCCCAAGGTTGAACGAAGAATTCTGGGTGGGTCTGACCAAGATGGGTAAAACTGAATCATGAGTTCCTTCCCTTTCTATTCCAGCCTATTTGAACTATTTCAATTGCTCCTTGTACCTTTCTGTTAGCTTTCAGTGATTTGAGTTGTTAAACTCTCGAGCTTTCATTCTTCTGAGACTGTTCCACTACTCAATATGACCATGGCTGATCATCCACGCCAGTGCCATTTTTCAACACCAGCACCATATTCTTTTATGTCTGTAGTATTTAGACATCAGTCGATCTCTGCATTAAACATACTCAATTACTGAGCTTCTACAGCTCTCTGGGGTAGAGAATTACAAAGATTCACAACCCTATGAGCAAAGAAAATTCTCCTCATCTCTGCCCGAAATGAATTCCCTATTTCTTTTAAATTATTCCCCATGGTTCTAGATTCCCCAACCAAGGGGAACATCTGACCTGCGTCTACCCGTTTATGTCTTGAAATATTTTGTAGGTTTTAATGCGATCGCCTATCATTCTTCGAAACTCTAGAAAATGTAGGCCCAATTTCCCAAATTGCTCTTCATAAGACAGTCCCACGTCCTGGAAACAAGTCTGGCTGAGCCTTTGTTGCATTCTCTCTAAGGCAATAATAATGTAAAAGGACCAAAACTGAACACAGCACTCCAGGTGCAAACTAACCAAGGTTCTATATAATTCAAACAAGAATTCACAATTCCTGTAGTTAAATTCTGTCGTGATAAATGCCAATATTCCATTAGCCTTCCTAATTGCTTTCTTGAGTTCAACATGGAAAACCTCAGATATTTCCCACATTGAACTAGATTTTCTGTAGTTTTGACTACTTGTTTGTAATTGGCCAAGACTTGTTGGAGAGCGGGGTTACTCAGCTTACCACCTGAAGAGTGGGAGTACAAAATATTTACGCTGGTCCTGGCTACTTTCTTAATATCCTGAAGTTGGGACTTCTGCTCCTCACTCAGGAGGAATTCCCACGTCAAAAAGATGCAAGTTAGGTGGATTGGCTGTCATCTCTCTGGTCCGAGCAGTGCCAGAAGCTGGAGTGGGCAGGACAAACAGTTCTCAGGGTCTAAGTCCCAAAGTCCAGGGCCAGATAAGTGTAGGCGTCACTGGGCACATAGGGGTTGGTGACCTCTGGAGGGTAGCGAGTTGAGATGTTTGTGGAGAGGCTGGGGAGAGAGCAACTACAGGGGACAGACCTTCTAGGGCTGCACGATATTGAAAGGTACCCTCCATTCCCTTCTACTTCCTACCTAAATAGGTTCGCTTTTCCATCTTTCCCTGACTGCCCACCTGAAAACTGAGACTGGGCAGTAAACAGATTATAATTCATCAATAATTTGCCTTTTAAAGGCGTCGACTGAGCCAAAGGCCAATCTGGACTTCGCCCACTCACTTTAAAATTGCAAATGATTTAGGCCAGTGGGAAGAATAACTTCTAATCATCTGCAAACTTTTATGTACATCATTCTTTTCCTTTCTTCAAGCCATTCACAGATATGAAAAATTGAGTTGCACCAGCCTCAGGAACACCATTCTCAAATCTTGCCAAGCAGACTTCCTAATCTTTACAACCGCTGTTTGTCTCCTATCTCTCAGACAATGTCCATCCAAAATCCAAACGTTAGCCGTTTCCAGTTTCATACACTGCCAATTATGCTAAGAATCCCCTGTCAAAAACCTTCATTGAATCCCTACAGTGTGGAAACAGGCCATTTTGCCCAGCATGTCCACACCAACTCTCTGAAGAGCATCCCACCAAGACTCACCCCGCTACCCTATTCCTGTAACCCTGCCTTTCCCGTGGCGAATCCACCTAATTTTACACATTTGCTTATCAAAGGGCTGTTGGAAAAGCATCTATAGATATTGCCTAAACCTTATTAGCGAGCTTCTCAAAAAAGGTCAACCAAATTAGTCAGTCCGGAATTATCTTCAGTAAACCCATCTGGACTTTCTCTGAGTGGCTTAATTTTATTCAAATTCAGAGTCATTCAGTTCCTAATGACAGATTGACCATAACAACAATAATCATGGTATTTTGTTCAAGTAACAACTTTGCAACCCAAAGGCTAAATTGTGATGTGACTTGCATCAAAACATTATCAAATAAATTAAACATTCAGGTTAAAAATGTGCAGCCATGTAACACTCATATTCTAGTAGCTTGCCAAAGACTGACATGAAACTGATAGACCTGTAATTTCTGGATTTCTATCTTCCTTATTAAATAATGGAATGACATAATGAGTGGGCTCTGCTGCAATTTCAACTTGAGACATGACTGGGGAATTTACCGTGCCAATTTATCCCAGCCAGTTGAAGAGGACCCAGAGACAGAGATGGGACCAGCAGGTATGCTTTTGCTTCTTCCATTTCCTGAATGGAACGAGGAGGAACAGGAGTGCTGTTCCTGCAGAGCTGACAAGAAAGTTTAGGCCCTTGCATCAGTGAACAATCTCCTTCCCCCTTCCTCCCACACACCCTTCAAACCTTTTCGCGAAATTTATCTTGTTGAAGGTGATGGTACATTTGGTGCTGATTGGCAGCCACTTGCCAATCTGAATTCCCTGGTCACCTACTTACCAGCTGATGATTTCCAACAGACTAGTGAAGGACACCAGTGTTGCTGATATCAAGGGTTTTGGCACACGTCATGTCCTTTGTCCACTTGATCTCCACTCCTGCTTAAAATCAGGGCTGATGTTTGATGTGGCTGTGGATGCAGAAAATAGCATTCTAGATCCTGTAGTATATGCTTTTTGAAGTGGTTGAGTTGTGGATAGTACTATTGTCATTTGCCAGGGCTACGGTTGTCTGTTTTGAAATTTTTCACCTGCATAAATCCGACTAGACTTTGCTTTAGATCTTCGACTGGTACTTCATTAATGAACAATCAGTGTCAATCTTCTGGTGTCCTATGATTTTTTTTCCTTTCAATAGATGCACAAGTCCCAGAATATTTAATTATATTTATGCTGGTACAAATTTTTGTCTTTTCTGATCTAGATGATGGCCCTGCTCCACCTGCTCCATTTGAACATAGGATTGTCTCGGCCAACATGGAACAAATCAGCAATTACTATACAATCTACAAATCTGAAGTCCTTGGAGGGTCAGTTCTGTTTGATGTCCTTCTGAAAATGATTCATTGTCAAAGATACACTTTAACTCACCCTTCTCCGAGCTGAGCAGTCGAAGATCACAGATATATGGGCAAATTTGTAAAAAAAAAAATACCAACCCTCCTACTTCAGTTTGAACCAAGGAATGTTTCAGAGCTTCTTGAGTAACTTGCTCTGGAGGGTTGGGTCTATCATTGTGATATCTAAATGAGTTGAACTAATTACTGACTGGCCAGGTTACCCCGGGCTCAGGAAATCTGGCAGCTGGAGAGAGCAGCTGCATCCAGTCGGTGGATGTCTTCCCAGCATTGCTTGTGGGCCAGGAGGAACAGGAGTGTTCACCCCCAAACCTGTCAAGAAAACCTTCTTCTAGCTCATCCACAACTCCCCAGAACAGCCCTTCTCCAAAACAATCATTTCAACCAGTCCTTCCTTCCTCCCAATTGCTGGTCTGATTCCTCCCTGGCATGTACCAGCATTTCCTACTTGTTAGGGACTCACAACAAAAGTCAGAGTTGGAATCTTCAACCACAGCCTTTCCTGGTTAACCACCTGTCTGCTTCCTAATCTGCGCAGCTGATGATGTGTTTATATTACATCATCTGTACAGCTTGAAAACGCTCTGATCAAAGATGCCACCTTCACAACTAAAATGAGTTCTGTGCTTATCGGGGGAGGTTGCCTTGTGAATGGGTAAAATCTTTGCTGTTAATGCAAGTATAGTTGGATTATAAGGATTTATGTGATCATTATGTATATGATTGATTAACTAAATTAATAAAATCAGACCCTATAGGTCAACGAGCAAAATGCATTGGACGGCAAGCAAATACGCCTTTGAAATCCCCAAAATGCCTGGGAAAATTGAATCATTGGCACATATAATCGTAGAAAATCATCCCCTTATGTGAGCAGCACACATTTTGGGAGAAAGTGTTGCTCTAATCGATGGCTCTGTCTCTCTCCTGCCCCTCCAATTGCAGATCCCCTCTCTCCTACCCTTGCTGCTCAACAAGAGTTGGAATCTTTGATTGGAGGGGTAGTAAGAGCAGGAGGGCAGGAATCTCTGATTCAGGCTGGTCCTGTAGCATGAAGGAGACATTAACAAGTTCGGAGCCAATGTCCGAGGCGCTGTCATTAAACCTGCTTGAATGAGGTAAGGGATTAGGGGGGCATTGTGCTGGCCCAGGTTTCTGCCAATTACAGTGGGAAGGCAGGGGCCTTATGGAGTTGATGAATACCCTGATATCATTCCACCTTAATACCTCTATTTATTTGGTTTGTCTCCTTTTCATACATAAGCATGGGTGAGCTTGAAGATTATGCACTGAATATGCGGGACTTGGCTGTAATGACATGACACTTACTTACTTCATCCAAAACCTGTTTTATGTCAACAACAAATCTATTTCTTACATGTGCCTTACAGTCCCAGACTGGACTACCAAGTTTGTGTTACAATCTGGCTAAGGGCCAAGAATTATTTTTAAAAATCAGACGTGAGATCCAGAGGACTTACTAAGAGAATAAATTGTGAGATTTGAACAAACAACAATAAAATTTACGAAAGAATGTTAGAATGCCAGTACAATGTACAATGCATATGCAACGTACATTCTTAAAAAATCACAAAGTATTCTAATACTCAGAATTAACTTGTGGTATATATAGGCAATAGATAGTGATCAAACACCCTGCAGTGGATATCAGATAGCAAATGTGATCAAGATAAATCCCACAGATTTCATAGGAATTCGTCCCAGATGTTACTGACATGGCATGTCACCAAATCTCGTTGAAACTCACAAAGAAGTACAACTTCACTTTTGCCAATTTAACCTCACTTCATCATGGACTGCTTCAATGACTTTTTGTAAAAATTCCTTCATGGGATGTGGGTGCCAATGGTTGGACCAGCATTTATTGCCCAACCCTAGTTACCCTTGAGAAGGTGGTGTTAAGCTGCCTTCTTGAATTGTTGTACTCCATTTGTTGTAGGTAGACCCACAATGCCATTAGGGAGGAACTTCCAGGATTTTGATCCAGCAACAGTAAAGGAATAATGATATATTTCAAAGTCAGGATGGTCAGTGGCGTGGAGGGGAAATTGTGGTGGTATTCCCATCTGTATGCTTCCCATGTCCTTCTTGATGGAAGCGGTCGTGGGTTTAAGGAGCCTTGGCAAATTTTTGCAGTGTATCTTGTAGATGGTACACACTACTGCTACTGAGCATGAGTGATGAAGAGACTGAACGATTGTGAATGTGGCGTCAGCCAGTTGGACTGTTTTGTCTTGGATGGTGTCAAGCTTTTGAGCATTGTTAGCGCTACACTCATCTGACCAAATGGAGAGTATTCCAACAGACTCCTGTCTTATGCCCTCTAGTTGGTGGACAGTCTTTGGGGAATCAGGAGGTTACACACTCACCTTCCTTTCCTGGGCTCCTCTGCACTGAAATATTTACAAACAGACGAACTGAAGCTTTTCACTGACTACTAGCTTCATCAAGCTAGAATTACCCTAAAATTGTTCCCTAAGCTCTAATCTTGCTCAGTTGCATCAAGCAAATAATACATGTGGACTTTTCAACCCCCACTCTCAGCTGTACTGAGCTTTTAATGGCATATCGTTTTTTTCTGAGCCTCCAGAATTTCCAGAATTTCTAGCTCTCCAATTCTAATACTTAACTATCTACTAAATCTGAGAACTTCTGTATGAGTTCTAACAGCACAGAATTATCCAACTGCTCTTAGGACTTCTCACTGAGTCTCTCACACGGAATCCATGTGGTACAGTTGCCTTCCCAGCAGTACAGCTAAAAACATCACTGCCTAATATGAAGTCTGCTTTCTTTTCCCTCCCTCTCTCACTGACTTCCAGTCTCACTACCTGTCATCTTAAAATTCATTTCAGAGACCCTTGAACTGTTCTGGGGTGACCAATTAAAAACAAGACCTGATCATAGTTCAAGACAGATTCGCATGTAACTAATATTTTAGAATGCTAGATGCAACAACCCCTTGGAACTGAAAACACCCTGAACATTACACTCTTAAAGTGCTGGCTTCTGCAGCGCAAAGAATGCTTACATAAAGAAGGATTCTTCATCATGTCCCTTTTTAAAGAAAGCATGCTTTTCAATCCAATAACTTTAAGTTGCACATGATTGTACTAACACTAAGGTTCATGTCAAGTATAAATGAATGCTGATCATGTTGAAAGTGGGGGCAACAGCAACGAATCCCAACAGCTGTTGAGTTGGTGGAAGACAAGATTGGGCAAAAGGGTATATGCCTGTGCCTTAGCCTTGTTGGAATTTATTTATAATAAATTAACAACAAAGTCTTATTTCTTGATTCCAAGTATTAAGATTTAATATAAATTTGGATAAAATCTTTACTAAGTGTGCTATCTTACCTTTCTAAAGAAGAAACCCCTAAAAAAAGTCCCTACACAAATGCAGGAGTCATTGTTCCTATAGTGACTGCCGCTTCTAATAAAATTGCTTGCGAGAATGAAATAGTAACTCCCAAAGATCAAAAGGTAAACCTCAAGAAAATCTCCCAAAGAAATAATTTGACATGAATACAGATGGACAATGAAAGGGTTCAGTTGTAGTTTTAATTTCACTTATAAATCAGAACTGTTATGAATGTTTTATGTGATATATCACATAAACCCAGATGAATTCACACTGAGCCATAGTTCTTGCAATCATATTGTTCAACTTCCTTATGGATGGATACTGTGCTGTAATGTTAATCACTACCAGCTTGTGGTTTTGATAGTTTGCTGCCACTAATACCTTTCTTTGACAGGGAATACTCCATTTACATTGGTAGAGGAAAACTACTAGTGAGCCTTAACGAGAAGACACTTTTTTCTTAAATGAGCTGTAATTTATTGCATGAAAGCAATTAAATGCAAGTTATATTAGTACATTAGACATTGTCACTAAGACTATTAGGAGACCTGTGGATCTTCACCGTACAAGATCCTAAGATGTTCTACCTTTTCTTCATCCAAGTCCATGACATCATTAGATTGGGTGGATCTTAACATCATTTTCAGCATTAACCATTTCAAAACTATTACTTTTTCAGAAGATCAGAAGATCTGCTACCTTTTCTTCTGTATCCTAGAATCACAGCATTGTTATAGTGCAGAAGGAGGGAGTTCAGTCCATCATATCTGCACTGGCTCCTCAAATCATAGGTGATGTCCTGACCGTTTGAACTTTGGCATTCTTGTATTTGTCCTAATGAGTGCAGATGAAAATGTTTGGCGATAAGTCTCTTTTCAGCAACACAAATGTTCCTGTTGTGGAAATGTTACTTAAATAATAATGTGGCTGATTCTTGAACTATCATGGTTTTTCAATGGTATTTCTGTCTTTAACTGTTTATTCCAGAGGACGGTTTGGACAAGTGCACAAATGTGTAGAGAAGTCTACCGGTCTTGCCTTGGCAGCCAAAATTATCAAAACCAAAGCAGCAAAGGAGAAGGTATGGTCAAATGTTTAATGTTAGCTGTGCACCACAAAAATAATTTGATTTTTTTTGTCATCATACGCATTGTTATTAATTAACAGGAGGAGGTAAGGAATGAAATCCAAGTCATGAATCAGCTGAATCACACAAACCTCATCCAGCTGTACGATGCTTTTGAATCAAAGAATGATATCACTCTGATCATGGAATAGTGAGTACTGCAAATTTATATCAATAAAACATCTATTGGAGTGGCAATTTTATTCACAAAGGTATACTCTAGGATGCCCAATTACATGACCATTGACTGTGAGGGGCCTTTGTGGCACAATGGTAGTGTCCCTACCTCTGTGCCAGAAAGCCTACTTTCATGTTACACCTGTCCCAGAGGTTTGTCATAATACATAATGCCTGACCAAGTTGATGAAAAATAATTTAATATTAACTGTATCCTCCTTGGGGTTGCCAACCATCCAGGATTGTTTCAGAGTTACTAGGCAGTGAAGACTGATTTGCGGGATACTACCGTGAGCTACTGAAGAGAACAATCAGAGAGGGATTAAGTGGATTGTGTGCATTTGTAAATTTTCTTTCATTTCAGAAATGGGAGATGGGATAAATTGCAGTTTGACAAAGGTTGAGAAGTATCCAGCCAGGTAGCGAAGAGTTTGTTGATTTCTCATTTGACATTGGAAGATTGTTTTACATGTTGGACATGCTGGACTAGAGTGGGAGTCAAAAGTTCATGTATTTAATCCTCCAAGAATATGCCCAACTAGATGTGTCAATTCTAACATGACTTATTTAATCATTTTTTCATCTTTAATATAAAACACATTTAAACTCGTAAAATGTCTCAGTGAGTAATGCGACAGAGTTTCAGTTAAGAATTTAGAACAAGCCTACAACTTAATCAAGCCACAAAAACCTCTCTTTGAATTTTGGAATACGTAGATGGTTACTGTATAAACTGATCGTTCTTGGAAGAAAGGATGGCCTGTATTTATGTGAAGCTTTTCATGAACATCCCCAAATCACAGCTAGTTAATTTCTTTTGAAATGATCTTATGTGGGAAATCCAGAAACCAATATGGACGCATTAGGTTTCCAGATATAATTGGGCCTAAACAATCTACTTTAGTGGTATTTACTGAAAGGTGACTGATTGACTGGACAATATGAAAGTTCAGCAGTTTTTTCTTGAGTGAAACAATGGTTTCTTTTATGCTCTTCTCAATGGAAAATTTGGGTCTCAGTTTAATGTCTTGCCCAAAAGACTGCACTTCTGGCAATACAGCACTCTTTCATCACTGCAGTGAGGTGTCAGTCAGTCTAGTTTTTGCATTCAAATCCTAGCTTGGGTCTTAGAGTGATAGAGATGTACAGCACAGAAACAGACCCTTTGGTCCAACTTGTCCCATCCAACTAGATATCCCAAATTAATCTAGTCCCATTTGCCAGCATTTGGCCCATATCCCTCTAAACCCTTCCTATTCATATACCCATCCAGATGCCTTTTAAATGTTGTAATTATACCAGCCTCCACCACTTCCTCTGGCAGCTCAATCCATACACGCACCACCCTCTGTGTGAAAATGTTGCCCTTCAGGTCCCTTTTTAAATCTTTCCCCTTCCACCTTAAACCTATGCCGTCTAATTTTGGACTCCCCTACCCTGGAGAAAAGACCTTGACTATTCACCCTATCCATGCCCCTCATGATTTTAAAAACCTCTATAAGATCACCCCTCAGCCTTCGATGTTCCAGGGAAAATAGCCCCAGTCTATCCAGCCTCTCCCTATAACTCAAACCCTCCAGTCCTGGCAACATCCTTGTAAGTCTTTTCTGTATCCTCTCAAGTTCAACAACATCTTTCATATTGCAGAGTCCTGAGTTGAATGTAGTATTCCAAGAGTGGCCTAACCGATGTTCTATAACAGCCACAAGATGACCTCCCAACTCCTATACTCAATGCACTGACCAATAAACGCAAGCGTACCAAACACCTTCTTCACAACCCTGTCCACCTGCGACTCCACTTTCAGAGAACTAAGAAACTGCACTCCAAGGTCTGTTTGTTCAGCAACACTCCCCAGGACCTTACCATTAAGTGTATTATCGCTGCCCTGATTTGCCCTACCAAAATGTAGCACCTCACATTTATCTAGATTAAACTCGACCTGCCACTCCTCGGCCCATTGGCCCATTTGATCAAGGTCCTGTTGTACTCTGAGGTAGCCTTCTTCGCTGTGCACTACACCACCAATTTTGGTATTATCTGCAAACTTACTAACCATACCTCCTAGATTCACATCCAAATCATTTATATAAATGAGAAAAAGCAGTGGATCCAGAACCAAACCCTATGGAACACCACTGGTCATAGGCCTCCAGTCTGAAAAGCAACCCTCCACCACCACCTTCTGTGTTCTATCTTCGAGCCAATTTTGTATCCAAATGGCTAGCTTTCCTTCTGTTCCATGTGATCTAACTTTGTCAACCAGTTTACCATGTGGAATCTTGTCGAACACCTTACTGAAATCCATATAGAAAACATTCTTTATCAATCCTCTGTCTCACTTCTTCAAAAACCTCAATCAACTTAGTGAGACATGATTTCCCATGAACAAAGCCAAGTTGACTATCCCTAATCAGTCCTTGCCTGTCCAAGTACATGTAAATCCTGTCTCTCAGAATCCCCTTGAACAACTTGCCCACCACAAGGCTCACGGGTCTATAGATCCCTGGCTTTTCCACATCACCTTTCTTAAATAATGGCAGCATGTTAGTCAACCTCCAGGCTCTGGCATCTCACCCATGGCTATTGATGACACAAATATCTCAGCAAGGGCCCCAGCAATCACTTCCCTAGCTTCCCACAAAGTTCTAGGATACACCTGATCTGAAGTAGGGTACATTCTCGAATAGTAGTAATGGAACCTATGGGGAGCAAGCTATCCTAGATCTGGTCCTGAGTAATTAGATTGGAATAATTACTCTTGGAAGGAGTGATCACTGTGTGGTTGAATTTGAAGTACAGATGGAGGGTGAGAAGGTAAAATCCAATACCATTATCTTGTGCTTAAACGTAGGAGACTACAATGGGACGAGGGAGACTGGGAATAAAGACTATGTGGTGGGACAATTGAGGAACAATGGAAGACTATCAAAGCGATTTTGCATAGTGCTCAGCAAAAGCATGTACCAGTGAAAAGGAAGGGCTATAGGAAAAGGGATAATCAGCCATTGATAACTAAGGACATAAAGGAGGGTATCAAATTGAAAGCTAATCCATACAAAGTGGCAAAGATTGGTGGGAAACTAGAGGATATGGAAATCTTTACAGGTCAACAGAAAGCCATGAAAAAATCTATAAAGAAAAGTAAGATAGATAAGGAGATTAAACTAGCTCAGAATATAAAAACAGACAGCAAACATTTCTACAAATATATAAAATGAAAAAGACTGGCTAAGGTAAACATTGGTCCTTTAGAGGATGAGAAGGGGGATTTAATACTGGGAAATGGGGAAATGATTGAGGTGCTTTTCAGGTATTCTATGTCAGTTTTCACAGTGGAAGGCACAAATAACATGCCAGTAATTGATGACAAGGAAGCTATGGCAGGTGAGGACCTGAAAACGATCATCATCACTAAAGAGGTAATGTTGGGAAAGCTAATGAGGCTAAAGGTAGACAAGTGTCCAGGCCCTGATGAGATGCATCCCAGAATACTAAAAAAGATTGCAGGGGAAATAGCAAGTGCATTTGTGGTCATTTGTGGTAATTTACCAAAATTTGCTGGACTCTGGGGCGGTTCCAGCAGACTGGCAAACAGCAAATGTTCAAAAATGGAGGTAGACAAAAGTCAGGTAACTATAGTCCCGTTAGCTTAACTTCTATAGTGGGGAAAATGCTTGAATCTATAATTAAGGAAGAAATATCGAGACATCTGGATAGAAATTGTCCCATCGGGCAGAGGCAGCATGGTTTTTAAAAGGCAGGTCATGTTGAAATATTTTACTGGAATTCTTTGAGGACATTACCAGTGCGGTAGACAATGGGGAACCAATGGATGTGGTGTATCTTGGTATCCAGAAGGCATTTGACAAGATGCCGCATGAAAAGCTGCTGCACTAGATAAAGGTGCGTGGCATTACAGGTCATGCATTAGCATGGATAGAATATTGGTTAATTAATGGAATGAAAAGACTGGGAATAAACGGGTGCTTTTCTGCTTGACAGTCAGTGGCTGGTGGTGTGCCTCAGGGCTCAGTGTTGAGACCATAATTGTTTACAATTTACAGTTGGTGACCAAGTGTAGTGTGTCAAAGTTCGCAGATGACACTAAGATGAGTGGTAGAGCAAAATGTGCAGAGGATATGGAAAGTCTGCAGAGGGATATGGATAGGTTAAGTGAGTGTGCAAGGGTCTGGTGGATGGGGTACAGTGTTGGTAAATGTGTGGTCATTCATTTCAGAAGGAATAATGAAATGGACTATTATTTATGTGGTAAAAAATTGCAGCATGCTGCTGTGCAGAGGGACCTGGGTGTTCTCGTGCATAAATCACAAAATGTGGGTTTGCAGGTGCAGCAGGTAATTAAGAAGGCAAATGGAATATTGCCATTCATTGCTAGAGAGATGGTGTTTAAATACTGGGAGGTTATGCTTGATTGATTTATTGTCACGTGTACCGAAGTACAGTGAAAAGCTTTGTTTACGAGCAGTAGAGACAGATCATAGTAAGCAAGAATGCTTAGATCGGAGGTTGTAAAATGACTCAGACAAAGGCATACATTGCCCAGGGCATGCGCTGGGTGAGATTAATGTTAGCAAAATCAGCATTATTTGAGGCTAGAGAGTCCATTCATCAGTCTAATAATGGCTGGGAAGAAGCTGTTCCTGAACCTGCTGGTGTGTGTGTTCAGGTTTCTGTATCATCTGCTGGATGGAAGAGATTGTAGGAGACCATTACCGGCATGTGATGGGTCTTTGATGATGTTGGCAGTCTTTCCGTGGCAGCAAGCCATGTAAATGGAGTCCACAGATGGAAGGTTGGCTTCCATGGTGGTCTGGGCTGTGCACACCGCCTTCTGTAGTTTCTTACGGTCCTGGGCAGAGCAGTTGCCATACCAGGCTGTTATGCACCCAGATGGTATGCTTTCAATGGTGTATTGGTCGAAGTTGGTGAGGGTCCTAATGGACATGCCAAATTTCCTGAGCTGCCTGAGGAAGAAGAGGCATTGTTGTGCCTTCTTGACTGTCGCATCTATGTGGGAAGCCCAGGACAGATTGTTGGCTATCGTCACAAGGAACCAGACGCTGTCCACCCTCTCAACCTCAGCTTCGCTGATGTAGATGGAGGCATGTTCTCCTCCTTTCTTTCTGACGTCAGTGATCAGTTCTTTAATTTTGCCAATGTTGAGAGAGAATTTGTTCTTATTGCACCACGTCACCAAGCCCTCTATCTCCCTTCTGTATTTTGACTCGTCGTTGTTAGATATCTGACCTACAATGGTGGTGTTGTCAGCAAATCTGCCGATGGTGTTCATTTGGAATTTGGCAACACAGTCGTGGGTGTACAGGGAGTACAGCAGGGGGCTAAGGACGCATCTTTGGGGATGGTGGGGGGGTGGTGCTCCACTGTTGAGTGTTATTGTGGGAGGTGCAGTTACTTTCAGCACAAGACAACCAGACAGGAAAGCTTGTTACCAGCAAGATATTTAATTATAAAGAAATGACGGTTGTGAATTTTAATGAAAAATTGCTGGATTAATGCAATAATCTTTGTCTCGAATGTTGTTACACTTAAGGATATTTCATTTAACGATGAGGTTATTTTCAGTGAACAATGACAGATGTATTAAGTATAAAATTAGTTGTTAATCTATTAATAATCAGGATAGTAAAAGCATTTGTCATCAGAGTTGCCAAACCTGCAGGAAAGTTCTGGAGTCTCAAGGAACCAAGTATTGATTTCTAGGAAATCGCTGTGAGAAAACAAGGAGAAAAGAAAACATTATCGCATTAAACTAGAGTTGTGTTTCTTTTAACTTTCTTTGAATGTTTTCACTTAGTATGTATGAAAATGTTGATCAAAAGTTTCTCCGGTGCAACTTCAGATAGCAAAGGGGGAGCCATTTATTGAGAAATGAATTCCAGGTTACACTGGGATTGGGTGGGACATCAGTGAAAAGCCACCCGCAGTGTGTCGCACCGTAATTAATCAGTGGAACATAGAGGGATGATCGACAATATGATGAAGTTTTAATTGGACACTTTTGCAGCAAGGTCTGATTCTAATCAGTGCCCAGCTGCAGTTCCTTCCATTAAACCGAATTGGAATCTGAAGGCAATCTGTGCGATAATTAGTCAAAACTCAAGAGTTTTGTGTTTTCTGATACACAATTATCGCAGGAAATTGCTTAACAAATTGAGAGATTAATTCTGTGATGTTTATTCCCCCCCCCACCCAACAGTATCGATGGAGGGGAACTATTTGACAGGATTATAGACGAAAGCTATAATTTAACAGAAATGGATACAATCCTGTTTGTAAAACAGATTTGCGAAGGACTTCAATATATGCACCAGAGGTACATCCTTCATCTGGATCTAAAGGTAAACCTTGTCAAAGCTTTACGAATTTCTTTACTTGTGAGATTATGTAATTTATCTGAAGAAAGCAAGGGCCATTTAAATTTAAGTATAACACTTGAAGTTGATGTTTGAGATAGATAAATGCTCTATTTTTCATTTATGTGGGGGATCAAGACACCCCAGTTGCTGCTTTAAAATTACTTCATAGGATGTGGGCAAGGACAGCATTTATTGCCCATTCCTAATTGCCCTTGAATTGCGTAGTTTGCTCTGACTTTTCAGAGGGCAGTTAAGAGTCAACCATATTGCTGTAGGAATCACATGTAATTCACATCAGGTTAAGCTGGCAGATTTCCTTCCTTGCAGAGCATAACAGAAAAAGATGCTTTTTTACAACAGTCACAGCTGGTTTCATGACATCTTTATTGAGACTAACTGTTAATTTAGTTTAAATTCCACCAGCTGCTCTGATGGGATTTGAACCCAAGAAAGCAGTTGGTTTGGAGAGGAAAATGAGTGCAACCAATGCTAATAGGACAAGGATAATTGACATACTATTGAAGTGTACAATCAAAGAAGACCCATTGCTGACCTTGGTAGAACTTCAGTAGTTAGGAAAAAAGATGTTTAAGTATATGAAATATTAAAAAGTACAGTGCAATAATGGATAAAGTGAAAATGCATGTAAATGAATTTGAGTTACAGATCAAAAATTATCTAATTGAATGGCAGTACAGACTGTGTCGCTATCCTCCAGGTGCTCCAGTTTCCCCGCCACAGTCCAAAGATGTGCAGGATAGATCAATTGGCCATGCTAAATTGCCCGTAGTGTCCAGGGATGTGCAGGCTAGGTGGATTAGCCATAGGAAATGCAGGGTTACAGGAATATGGTAAGGGTGTTGAGTCTGGGTTGGATGCTCTTCAGAGGGTCATGTGGACTCGATGGGCTGAATGACCTGCTTCTACACTAGGGGTTCTATGTCTCATGGGGCTTAGTCTTTTCCTATGTTCTAGTATATAAGGCAAGCTCCAAATTATTGCTTCCAAACACACCTACATGAAATTGAAATTAATGAAACATTTGAAACAGTTATGTCAGCAAAAGCTTCCTTGCTAAAAGTGATAAATCCATCAAGGAACCTGATAGTATTGGAAATGTTGCTTAGATAGAGTCCATTCAGAACGTGTGATGGACATGTTAATGCAGTGGAGTGGAGAGCTTTGGTAGGACTTGACTTTTTCAATGTTTTACATTTTCAGCCTGAGAATATTTTGTGTGTCAATCGGGAAGCCAACCAAGTGAAGATAATTGACTTTGGCTTGGCCAGAAGGTAAATTATATTTATTTGTGGACAATGAAGCTCATTTCTCTTTTTTAAGACTTGTAATGAAGGAACATGTCTCAGCGTGTTTGACAGAAATAGCAAAAAATTACAACATAAAATGTTCTTTGAAGTGGCAAAGGTATCACCCTAAAAAAGCTGTGGTCTGCTGACGTTGTAATAACATCACCCTTCTTAAATTTAGTTCATTGTAATTGCTTCAGAAGAGTTTTGTAAAGAAAACTGATGCTCCAAAGAGTAAGCACATCAGGGCTTAATTTAAAACAAAGTCAATTGCATCAACAACACTTGAAGAGAAATCATTCCAAGTCTTCTTCATCCCATTTCTCAATTCAGTAGTTTTCCCTGAAAATAGCTCTTTTATCCAAGTTTGATTCAACTACTTAATGACTTTTTTCAAACTAGGTGCCTCAAGCTGAGGGCTGTGTACATTTTGTTGAAGCATTGTTAGATTCTAAAGGACTCGTGACTCACAACACCTCTGGGGTGTTATGAATCACAGTCTGGATGAGGGAACCTTTTGAGTGATATTACCATCCCTACCATACCAGATTATGTCTCTGCACCCGACACCAAAGTCCGTATTCCTTTCAGGCTAACCTCCCTTAGACCACTAGCCAATTGACTGCTAAGAAAATAGGACCTAGTGGGACAGATGGTTTTGGCCACCTAGACACAATTATCAAATAATGCTGAAATTTAGATGTTGGTGCTGTTATGTGGCATTGCAATAATGAACGGATATATGTAAAAAAAGCAACCTAATTTAAGTTATTTTGTTTATTCTGTTAGATATAAACCAAGAGAAAAATTAAAAATCAACTTTGGTACTCCAGAATTCCTTGCTCCTGAAGTTGTGAATTATGACTTTGTTTCATTTCCCACGGATATGTGGAGCCTTGGGGTGATTACCTATATGTTGTAAGTATAAGGCCAAATCATGAAGGATTGTTGAGAGCAAGAGGCAGTAATATGTTTGTGAACAACATCTATTTCCTTAAGTTTTGTCTTTCTGAATAAAGTTTCTTTATTCTGAAAATCCCCTTTGTACAATTTATCTCCAGGGAGAAGGTCGGGGCGGCTAGTGGGTTGTGAGAGTCGTGGTGGGCTATGTTTAAACCGCAAGTGGAAAACAGTTACCTTTTGAATTGCTTTTTTGAAGCTGGAATCAGGCTTTGAAAATCGGTCAGTTAGGCCAGGCCCAGCGTTAGAAAGAAAGCCTGCCAGGATTTAAAAGGACTTTGTACATGTCATCAAGAGTTCCACAGTGACCATTGCAGCCTCAAAGTCTGTGGCTCCAAACCGCATCTGGGAAACCCTAGCTTAATGTCTTTGAAAATTTGAGTTTGATTTGTATATTCAGGATTCTGAACTGTGAGTGCCACCACTTGACTGTTAATTTTCATCAACAGTCCCAACCATTTTAACTCAAAACTGTCAACAATTACTGCCTCATTTCTTATCTTCAAGTGCTTTTCATTGTGAGCTAGTGATGGTTTAATGGACTAGTCACACCCGTTGGTCGTTTGTTATATTTGCTTTGTAAGATTAACAATTAGCTCTCTCTGACTTTTAGTGATGATGTGGAGATGCCGATGTTCGACAGGGATGGACAAGGTCAAAAATCACACGACACTATGTCATGGTCCAACAGGTTTATTTGAAAACACAAGCTTTCATAGCTCAGCTCCTTCCTCAGGCATAGTGTGAGAGAGAGGTAGAATTTAAAAGCACGCGTGCGGGCACATGCACACATGCACAAACGTGGACACATACACGCACATACTCACACACAGACACACACATGAATTATTTCATCCAAGGTGTTTGTGTAGTTGCAGATACATTCTGTTTTGCTCATAAAAATAAAACCTGACCTCAGTTTAAAACATAGATTCTAAGCAAGACTTCACACCTAAAATGCATTGTTTGACCTGAGATGTCACCTCTTATATACATTGATAAAACCTTTAATTATCTCCGGACAATGACTTGAGAGGAATCTGGATTTTGCATCTCAATCAATAGTCTCCTTCCTAACCGATTAAGGATTCAACAAGAGGTGGCCAGTTTTAGGGTTGTTACCTTTCGGCTTATAAATTCTGTGTCTTATACCCTCTCTCTCACACTATGCCTGAGGAAGGAGCTGAATTCTAAAAGCTTGTGTTTTCAAATAAACCTGTTGGACTATAACCTGGTGTCGTGTGATTTTTGACCTTGACTTTTAGTGATGCTCAGGTGTATTTCCGCAGCTGGCTTCCCACCACTTACCTGCCCACCGTCATCTCCTTACTTACTCAAACACACAGAGGTTGGGATTTTAACAAACCCTCAAGTAGAAAGAATGGTGTGCGCAAAGATTTAACAATCGGTTCCGGCCAATAGCTGCTGTCATTTTGACAGAATTGAATCATATCATTGACAAGGCTCCCACTAAAAGCTGACAGCCAGGGCATACTGTGTATCTAAACATTAGATTAGCCTAAGTCAGAAGCAGCCCCACTCTATCAGAAGAACCACAGCCAGTGAAGCTTACTGGCTTGAAGAGGCCAAAATAAGGCTGTAAAAATGATTTTGTTTTTCTCAGAATGCTTTTAGAAGGCTGTGAAGACCAGAAGTGCTCCCAACCCCCATAACTTGTCCAGTCCCACAGGTATCTCTCAAACCCCAGCTTCCCTTTTTGACCACTATAGGATCCTGTTCCCTTGCTGCCTCCTGATGCTAAATTTCTCTTCCTGGGCAGACCTTCAGATTAGGATTTTGCATACTTTCCTTTAAATGGGGCTGTGCCAATAAGATCAGCAGATTTCCTCCAAGCTCCCAGACCTTGTTGATGTACCCTACCTAGTTTGGGGGTCGCACATGTTTAAAATTGTGCCCTGACCCACCACTACCAGTAAAACTCAAGGCCCAAGAATCAGAAAGCTAATATCAAAGGTGACCTTCACAGCCCAATCCAGTTCCCATCTCCACATGACAAACACACAAACAGACTTGCTCATGAGTTACAGTAACCTGAACCTCTGGGGTTCCGGTCCGATGTCTTTGACGTGCATCAATCGAACAAATTTTTGCTTTCACTTGAAAATGGAAAATTGTAGTTGGTTCAGGCAATGCCATTTCTGCTTAGTTAAGTGCTCACTTTCACTGTACAGTAAACCATATTTTCAACCACTGGAACAGTCATTCATAGTCTGCCTGAATGTTCAGCATGCCTGTGGAAAAATGTGTCGGGTATAATTTGACAGCACCACTTCACATTTTAAAATGTTGGAACTTTAAAAGAAATGTGGCATACCCCAATTCATGCATTCGTGAGGCATGTTTGCTATTTTGTGATTTCCTGCTGCTTGTGGCTGTCCCTGCTGTTACTGTGTGTCACACTCATCTGTTTTGCAGCATCCTGACACATCCACTGGAGCTCATCTGCAACCACTTTGCGACATCCATCATCCACCCAAGCTGAGGGCGACCTCTCTTTTCTGCTGCCCTCCACTCTGCCCTCTATAAGAGGTGTCTGCAGCTTTTTATCCCTGATTAAATGGCTGAAATACTGACACGTTCTTTTCAGGATGTCACCTTTTTGACTTCTTTCTACTTTTGCAATTATATTATTATGCTTGGATTAAAATTGAATGTGCATGTGTGTCGATTTCCCCCTCCCCGGAGCATCTTCTGCAGTAAGGAGCCTCAGTCCCCAATATTTACAACTCCTTGGAGGTCTGTAATGGTAAATTCTTCCCCTGCCCTTTCTTTGAATTATTCTATCTCACTCTCTTCACTGTTACCGCTGCAGTCCAAAAACAGCCCAGCGCTTATGGGCTAATACCTTCCCTCTGACAAATAGTTTTAGAAATTGTTCACTTGTATATTTAGATAAGAGCAGTACTTTCAAATATTCCAAAATAACTAATGTTGAGATGAGTTTGAGTTTGATCTATTATTGTCGCATGTACCAGGACACAGTGAAAAGTGTTGATGCAGCATAATAAAGAGCATCCATTTTTATATTACTATTTTCTCTTTTTATTCACTGATTTATTATTGTGTGCCCTTACTCCTTGAGTTCTTCTTGGTCTTGGTAACTCCCAAGTAAGAATTCTTCCATCCACCAGTTACAAGTTGGATTAGAGAAACCTGAGATCACTTGGCATTGCCAAAGTTGACTTGCAATCCAATAACTTGAAGGTTTTTCTAATCATAAGACGTGCAAATATAGTTTTCCCTCCTATTTTTGCTCAGGGAGACATTTACGATCTGCGTAGTCTACCTTACCGGCAGCAGTGTGGAGATCTCTATTTTGTTAACCTTGGGTGAGGTCATAGCTGAAACTCATTTCTCACCAATACATCTTTAAGGGAATCAAACTATCATCATGCTGGTTTGTTTAGTGTCCTTCGTCACTCTGAAGTGTTAAAAATCTCCAATGATTAAAGGCCTAGCAAGTTCCCGTAAAACTCTAGCAGAACACATTTAAGAAATCCTTAGAGAAATCTGGACAGTAGAAAAAAGCTGGACAACTATTAAACAGAGGCTTAGATTTTACGGGAACAATGTATCTCATTGAGTGTCCCTTACTTAGACTTGTCACCTTACCTTTCAGTTTGGAAATATTTGTCCTGTAAGTTGCTGGAAGTTTGAGCTGATAATGGCATGGTGAGGGCAGGAAGGCCTCTGAGTCCTTGGCTCAATGGGCTCAACAACCTGTCTCCTAAACCAGTGAGATTAATAAAAAGAACAATGGAGAAAAAAGGTATATTAGAGTCAAATCAGATGCCAAAGAGAAACGTGAGGGATAAAGATTAAATTAAGTGAGAGAAAAATGAAGTGGAAAGTAAGAAAAAAAAACAAATTAAAAACATTTGAAATGATTTACTGCCTGTGGAACAAAACTGTAGAGTTTAGGAGCTGGCTTAATGAACTGGAGGAATGTGACTGCTATTGTAGGGACATCTATACCTCCTCATTCAAAGGTAGTTGCAATGTCAAGTACTAGCCATGACGTTCGGGGATGGGTTTAATGAGTAATCAGTGCACAATCGCAGGAAACTGATGGGAAGGTTGAGGATGAGCTGCTGTTTTCTTAGATCTTAGGGCGGAGTGCGCAAATCATGTATAAACTTGCAGTGATTCATAATTCACAGCATGTCTCTTCCTTACCACAAGTGGCTTGACAATTTACTCACTAAAAATGGTGAACATATTCAACTCACCAATATTTTGACAACAAGTTCACAGCTATTTCCTTCTTGGTATCCACAGTTTTTGTATTTTAAGGAATTAATTTTGTTTCTACAATCATTAAGTACATTCTGATTGTTGAAGTGGAACTAGAATTGTACTGATGATTTGGAATGCATCTGGATTGATTGCCATTTCCAGGCAGTCGTTTATTAATTTATACAACATTTTCTAAATCTCGTTCTTCACAATGATGAGAATGCAAAGCCAGGAAAAAGACATCTCCTCTTTGTTATTTGAGGAGTTATTAGCCCTTTGCACTTGTATTTATGATTTTTCCATAACTGGTGGGCATAATAAATCATCTCCAATGCTTTTTATTTACCAAAGAGCTCTCATACACTGACACAAATGCTTGATGAGTATTAATGACTCATGAGACATGGTGAATGGTCAAGACATTGCTGTTTCTTCTATTACTGCCTCTGTTACTTTTGTTCTTCTATTATTGCACACAATGATAGCTGTGTGAATAGCTGAAATTTACCGAATGGCTTTTGATTAATCCCTACTCTGTGTTTCCCTGCTTTTTTGAACTGAAGGCTGAGTGGACTCTCTCCATTCCTTGGGGATGATGACAGTGAGACCCTCAATAACATTCTTTTTTGTAAATGGGACTTGGATGATGCAGAATTTGAAAATGTCTCTGAAGATGCCAAAGAATTCATATCAAAACTTCTCATTAAAGAAAAGGGGTATGTATTGCTGTCTCTACAGCTTCAAATAAAATTATATTTTACATGGTAGTTAACCACCATTGTTAATAAGTTTTGACCGTTGTGGCCTTTTGAAATGATATTCTGTAATATATTTACATGTAAGTTAAATGCACTAGATTACTAACTTGAATGCTAAAATAATGAATAATGACAGAAACCCTATGAAACCTTAAGGTGAGTATAAAAACACATCTTTATATGGGGACTGAATGCAACAAGTTAACTGGAGAAATAAAGTCAAAAATCAAGAGAGGTAAGAATGACTGAACAAATGAGAAATGCAAAAAAGCAAAAGATTAAATTGAAAGAAATGAAAGACAGATGCTGTGGCTGAGAACTACCTGAAAGCTTACAACTTTAAATTGGCTGCAGTGAAAGATCAAAATAGTTAGATCATTGAGGACAAGCATGCAACGATCAAGCGGAGGAAGGAATATTTTTATGATCTCCACAGTGTGTAGGATGGGGTGAATGAATAAGCTCTGGAGGAGCTGCCTCATACAATTGCAGGGGAATTGATGCTGCATCTGTGGAGAGACAAAGGGAATGTTCTTTTGATAATTTGTTCCAGAACAAGGTCCCTGGTACCATCAACATAACTGCAGATTTTTTTGAATTGCATGCTCGACATTACATTTGGGCTCAGTATTCTTTTGTCCTTCAAGTATCAAGGATCATTAAAATTTCATTAAAATTAAAAGCAAAAAGAATCATCAAATACAGAAGCAAAATACTGCTGATTTTGGAATCTGAGAATTGTCTAATATTCTTGGAAGAACTAAATAAAATCATATGAAGCAAATAATCCTATTGCATCTTTTAACTATTCCAATGTCATAAAATTTTTGCAGATATTTTATCTTATGAGCCAGCATCTACTGTACATAAACTGTTGTTGTTTTATTTTCCTTTAGCTGGAGGATAAGTGCAAATGAGGCCCTTAAACATCCCTGGTTGTCAGACAGCAACCTACACTACAAGCTCAGTTCCAAGGTCCCTGTCTTGTTTGTAATGATTATGGAAAACTGTACACCTTTTCGTTGGCTTTGTCATGCTGCCCTCACCCACATTCATTGAAGGTTGCATTGTGTACTTGATCATGAGCACTCATGCAAATACAGAAATTCTCTTAATTTATTTCTGTACCTCATGAATGTGGGCCTCGATACATAAGAAAATACGTTCAACTTTGTTTTGCCAATTAGCAAGGCCAAGCTACTTTTGACACATTGGCCGTCTCCATCTTGCATCACCTGCATGATGATCTGGCATGAGTGATCGCTGAGGATGTCGTTCATGAAGACCGTAAATAAAATAGCAAAAGAAGTCTAATATTACCGTTAAGGACCATTAGCTGCTTGATACCTGCATGCCATTCGACATGTTATAAATTGTACATTGTTGCTGCTGTTTTAATCTTTCAACAGAGCAGGTTTTACTCTGTTTCATATTACAGGTCATCCACATTGACAAAGTTACAATGATCATGACTGACCTTTAAAATGATTGAATACCGCATGAGACAAAATGGCAACACACCTACATTTTTAAAAATAATTAGTTTGAAGCAAAGCTTTCATTTGAGATCTTTAACTAACGTGAAACGTCTTAGACACAGGTGGTGTGCTTTCCTTCCAAATTTCTGATTTCCTTTTTAAATTCTGATTTTTTAAAAAAATCCATCAAAATAAAGTTTCTTTAATGTTGCCCACAAACTGAACATCCTGTAAGTCATCCCGAGATATGGGGTTTCTACCAGTTGTGAACAAGACTTTAATGAGCTGAAAGAGACATAGAGCCCCATTCATATCGTGGCTTGCTGCACTTTTTCCACTATTGCTGTTTGCATGACATTGAAAACTTTATGAATGGGGCACATAGTACTGTTGAAGTTGCCAATTTCTCCATCTATATTCAACAGCCACTTACAGGTTCTCCTATATACTCTCCAAATTACGGATGTTAAATTCAGAGCAGTCTTTATTGAAAGACTAGTTTTCAACTTTAATTCCTTGCTGTGCCTGACATGTTATGAATGTGAGCTTATGTCCTTTGCAAACAACAGCATCCTGGCTAAGAACTAAAGTGCATTCAGGAAAATAATATAATATAACATTCTTATATTCCTGTAAGCCAGCAGTGAATGAGATTTTAGTGCATCGCAACGTACCTTGTTAATAATCAGCCAAACCACTAGGTGGAGTGTCTCACCCATATCCTATAGCGGAGGAACATTCTTGGCTCAAACCATCTTCTGTGTGGAATCTTATGGCACCTGTGAATTAATCAGGCATTATTGAAGGGACTAATGTCTAACCCACTCTTTTCCCAATCTTGATGTCACATCTGATCATGAGATGAACTTATGACCTCATATTTATGCCATTACTAAGACTGCCTACTTTAATCTTGTTAATGTTACCTGACCTTACTCTATCTCAACCTGTCTGCTGTTGGATATTTGTTACACTTGTTTTAGCCAAAAGGTTGAGTGTCTTTGTTATCTGCCTTCTAACCTCCATAACGTTGAGGTCACCTGAAACTCTGCTGTCCATGTCTTAACTTACAGCATGTCCTGTCCCTATCTCACCCTGCCTCAATGACCCACATAGACCCCTGGTCAAGCAACATCTTAATTTTTAAACTCTAACCCTTGTTTTCAAATCCCTCAGTGGCTCCAACTATTCATGCCTCTGGGATCCCATCCACTACCCCACTCCTTTTGACCAAGGTGACTGAAGAAAAATGGCCCACTCTCACTCACCTTCCACTGTCCATTGTATTAAGGAATTGGAGGCAGATTGATGCCCTGAAGAGAGCCATTACTTTGCATTTTGTAGGGCCTCAGTAGCCCTAAGGGTAGACAGATTGGTTGATGCCTTACCCAGATCCATTCCCTGTATCTTTGCATTCCACTCAGGAGTGGGCAGAAAAGGCATATTTTATGTCTCCTCCACCCCTGCTTAAGACATAGCTGGTTGTGGGGTGGGTGGGGACAGTAAAATCTGGGCCCTAAGATTTGAGGTCCATTAGCTGCCAGAATCTAAACACAGAGGCTGGATTTTCATTCTGGGGATGGGAATTAGAACTCGGGACTGTTTCCTGGTCCTGAATGGAGCAGTCACTCTGGAATTTTCACAGAGCCGCCTCCTCAACTGTTCCAGAGATAGGTTCCCTGTCCGATAGAGGGTGGAAGATGGCTTTTGAGGCTGGAGGGCAAATCATAGGCCTTCTCGTTTGAAAGAAACAGAAAATAACTGAGACCAGTGCCTCAGTATGGAGACAATCTATCGTCAAAACTTAAGTTAGAAAAATGGAAAACGTAGCCATGTCATCACTGTGAGGTGGGAGGGTTGGTATAAAACCCCTTGATGGGGCTGCACTCACACCAAGGGGGACAAATAAGCTGAGCCCTGGGCTTGCCACTGCATACCCATCTTAAAGCAATTAAACAACCCCCGAAAGCATTGGGATACTGGAGGCCAACTGGAAAATCCCAGTCGACCTGCTCTAACAGTGGCACAACGAGACTATCAATTAGCCTAGACAACAAGGTGCAGGGCTGGATGAACACAGCAGGCCAAGCAGCATCATAGGAGCAGAGAGGCTGACGTTTCGGGCCTAGACCCTTCATCAGAAAAAGGGGAGGGGAAGGGGGTTTTGAAATAAATAGGGAGAGAGTGGGAGGCGGATAGAAGAGGGATAGAGGAGAGGATAGGTGGAGAGGAAACAAACAGGTCGAAGAGGCGGGGATGGGGCCAGGAAAGGTGAGTGTAGGTAGGGAGTTAGGAAGGGGATAGGTCAGTCCAGGGAGGACGGACAGGTCAAGGGGGCGGGATGAGGTTGGTCGGTAGGAGATGGAGGTACGGCTTGAGGTGGGAGGAGGGGATAGGTGGGAGGAAGAACAGGTTAGGGAGGCAGGGACGAGTTGGACTGGTTTTGGGATGCGGTGGGGGGAGGGGAGATTTTGAAACTTGTGAAATCCACATTGATACCATTGGGCTGCAGGGTTCCCAAGCGGAATATGAGTTGCTGTTCCTGCAACCTTCGGGTGGCATCGTTGTGGCACTGCAGGAGGCCCAGGATGGACATGTCGTCTGAGGAATGGGAGGGGGAGTTGAAATGGTTCGCGACTGGGAGGTGCAGTTGTTTGTTGCGAACCGAGCGTAGGTGTTCTGCAAAGCGGTCCCCGAGTCTCCGCTTGGTTTCCCCGATGTAGAGGAAGCCACACCGGGTACAGCGGATGCAGTATACCACATTGGCAGATGTGCAGGTGAACATCTGCAGATGTGCAGGTGAACATCTGCTTGATGTGGAAAGTCTTCTTGGGGCCTGGGATGGGGGTGAGGGAGGAGGTATGGGGGCAGGTGTAGCACTTCCTGCGGTTGCAGGGAAAAGTGCCGGGTGTGGTGGAGCTGGAGGGGAGTGTGGAGCGGACAAGGGAGTCACGGAGAGAGTTGTCCCTCCGGAAAGCAGATAAAGGTGGGGAGGGAAAGATGTCTTTGGTGGTGGGGTCGGATTGCAGATGGCGGAAGTGTCGGAGGATGATGCGTTGGATCCGGAGGTTGGTGGGGTGGTACGTGAGGACGAAGGGGATTCTTTTTTGGTTTTTATTGCGTGGACGGGGTGTGAGGGATGAGGTGCGGGAGATGTGGGAGACACGGTTGAGGGCGTTCTCGACCACCGAGGAGGGGAAGTTACGGTCCTTGAAAAACGAGGACAACTGAGATGTACGGGAGTGGAATGCCTCATCCTGGGAGCAGATGCGGCGGAGGCGAAGGAATTGGGAATAGGGGATAGCATTTTTGCAGGAAGGTGGGTGGGAGGAGGAGTATTCTAGGTAGCTGTGGGAGTCGGTGGGCTTGAAATGAATATCGGTTTCGAGGTGGTTGCCCGATATGGAGACAGAGAGGTCCAGGAAGGGGAGAGAGGTGTTAGAGATGGTCCAGGTAAACTTAAGGTTGGGGTGGAAGGTGTTAGTGAAGTGTATGAACTGTTCGAGCTCCTCGTGGGAGCCTAATTGGTTGCTTGCCTAGTGTGTGTGGGTAATCCTGCCAGTTCTGAATTCATCTCAGCAAAAATGATAAACTCAGTTGTGCACTGACTGGCTCCTGTACTTCGGGGACCCATCCGACTGCTTTCTTGACATTGGCACTGCTTGAAAATTCACCCTAAAGGCCACGACCTTTACACTTTAATTCAATTAAAAAGTCTGGAATTGTAAACCTAATGATTACCATGAAACCATTATCAACTGTCAGAAAAATTTGGCAACAAAAATAGAAATTGCTGGAAAAGCGCAGCAGGTCTGGCAGTATCTGTGGAGAGAAAGCAGAGTTGACATTTTGGATTCAGGAAAGCTACAGCTGGTTCACTCATATCCTTTAAGGAGGGAAACTGCTGTCATTACCCAGTCTGGCCTACAACTGACTCCAGATCCATGGCATTGTGGTTGACTCTTAATTGCCCTCTGGGCATTTTGGCAATAAATGCTGGCCCAGCCAACAATGCCTTCATTCATGAGTGAATTAAAGTAAGTTCTGTTGAATCTGCAAGGCATCAGTATATTCTTTGTAAGTTTTGTTTTATACTTTCATGGGATGTGGGAGCAATTGGCAAGGTCAGTATTTGTTACCATCCCTAACTGCCCTTGTGAACATGGTGCTGAGCTATCGCTGCAGTCTATTTGGTATAGATGCATAGATGCACCTACTCTACTGTTATGGTGTGAGTTCCAAGATTTTAACCCAGCAACAGTGAAGGAATGGCAATATAGTTCCAAGTCAAGATGGTATGTGGCTCAGAGGGGAACTTGCAGGTGATGGTGTTCCGATGAATCTGCTCCCCTTGTCCATCTAGCTAATAGAAGTTACGGGTTTCAAAGGGAATGTTAAAGGAACCGTAGTGAGTTGCTGAGCATATCCTGTATACTGCTACCATTGTCGCATAAGTGTTGGAGAGATTGAATGTTAAGAATGGTGGATGAGGTGTCAATCGAACAAGCTTCTTGAGTGTTGTTGGAACTGCAGTCATTCAGGAAAGTTGAGTTTTATTTTGTAGACGGTGAGCAGATTTTG